GTGCAAGCGTGAAAAATGGCACCAGTCCGAATGGCAGTCCGAATGGCACTCTGAAGTCAAATCGCTTGGCCCAGGAGCTTGAAACACTTTCACTGCCACCCTGCCACCCTGCTACCCTGCCACCCTAGCCTCGCTGCCAGCAGTGGGTCAAGCGGTGGGTTGGACAGCGGACATGCCGGACACTCGAATTCAAAGCAGATGCCCCAGTTGCCCGGGGCCATAAAAATATAAATCCTAATTACGAGCAGTTTATTCAGTGCAAGGCAAATTAAAAAATCTTACGGACCGACCGACCGACCGACCGACCGACCGACTGCCTTTCTGGCTTTCAACTTTTATTACATCTTTCACTCGCTCGCTGCACGCTCAGTCTCTGTGGATGGATGGATGGATGCTTTTCGCCTTGGAAAGGATGCGTCCGGCTTATGCCAAATTAAAAACGCATTCATTTGTGCCCCGGCTGTGCTCTCTGTTTTGTTCTTCTTGCCACTTCCTGTTGCTGCTCTTATTTTGTTGAAAGTAGCAGCAAGTCGGGTACTAATCCCCCCCCCCCCCCAGCTGAGAACACTCTGAGATCCGGCCACCGAAAATGGTTTGTGAGCGACGAGCGTCAGCGCCAGCAGCAGGCTACAGCTGTGGCAATTGAAGATACATTCCCGCACACACTCCCGCTGCACCCATTCTCTTATTTGTTTTTACGATTGCATGCAATTTAGCAGAGTGTTGTCCACGCCACCTGACGGGAGGCGCCTCTGACAGCAGCTCTGTCAGCTGGCAATTCATTGAAGTGGCCCTGTCCCTCCCCCCTCCTGGTGCACTGATCGCCCTTGATCATTAATCTAATGTGTCTGTCTCGCTTCATCTTGATATTGCAGTTCCCATGATGAATCACCACACGATGCCCAAGTTTGGCTTTGGACCGTACAAGAAGACCGGCAGCGTGAGCAGCTTCTTTCTGCCCAAAATACTCACCAGCGGTCGTGCCTCCAGCGGACGCGTCGGCAGCCTCGGTGGCGGCGACGTTGGCAGCCGCTGCAACCACAAGGTTGCCCTGGAGCTGTCGCATGGCAAGAATAAGCAACTAATTTCACTGCCAGCGGAAAAGTTGGACAGCAATAAACGCTATTATGTGACGTTCACAGTTAAGGACTCCTCGGGGCATGGCAGTGCCATCGAGTCGCACAAACAATACCAAAAGCAATGCCGGAATACTGTGGGCGAGCCACCAGGCGGTGGCAAGTAGCCTCACTCCCCGCCGCCGTATACGTAATGTGGTGGCATGCAGTGCGTACAAACAGTCGCTCCAATGCCATTGCCATCAGCCCTCGTCACTGGCCTCGGCCCCGCATACCGTTCCCTGCTGCTCCTGCTGCTACTAGCGTTGTTGCTGCAAATGCATTAAAACAATGCCATTGCAACATTTTGTGTCGCTGCTGATGCTGTTGTTGTGACCACCCGTTGTCCGCTGTCCGTTAGCATTTTTTTTCCGTTTGCTTCCTGTTCTGGCTGCTGGCGGAAAACCATGAAAAAAATGGAAGAGGTTGCAGCCGGCATATTAGACGTTGCTGCCCGGCGAGCTGCTGCTTCCCTGAGCTCTTCCTGGGTATATCCCATTCGAGTCGCGTGCTGATCCTGCATCCTGCTGCACTTTAAGATGGCCAACTGCTGATAATGGATGATGGCGCTGCTCTGCGGCTGTCAGTTGAAGTTGTCACGCCAGCAGCGTGGCATGCAGCAGCAACAGCAGCAGCAGCAGCAGCAGTAACGGCAGCTTAAATTATGTGCTCCTCCAACCCCGTGCCCGTGTGTGAGTGCTGCGGCTCCTCCACCCATTTTGTTTTGTTTGCTTGTTTTGTTGTTTCTTCACATTTTCCTTTTTTTCCCCCTCCGTTTGCTTGTTTGTTTGTCTGCCGCTGCTGCTGCGCTTTTATTTCAGTTTTTCATTATCATTTTTTGCCGTTGCTGCTGTATGGGAGGGAGGGCTGGCTGCTGCTGCTGCTTGGGATGCTTCTAATGCCACAGATAAGCGTTGTTATTAACGCTCGGCTTACCAGGACTAGGCGACAGGCGTGAGGACATGCCGCCCATCGTCGCTTTTGTAGTCAAACAGTACAAAAAGCAGCAGGGGAAACCCCAGAGACCAGAGAAGGAGCGGTAGCAGGAGCAGGAACAGCAGGAGCAACAGCCACAAACAAACACGGAACAAAAGCAGAAGCAGAAGCTGACGCTGACGCTGAAGCAGATTCAGAATCAGAATCAGAATAAGCGAATGAATAAATGTAAAATATGTACCGTGCATTTCTTTGGCATTTCAACATTTTTACTTTATTTGCAATTTTATTTACTTGTCTGCTTTCGCGACCCGGCAGGGGGTGCTGATGATGCTGCTGCTGCTGCCTCTACCTCTCTGCCCCCACCACGCTCTCCGCTCTCCGCTCTCCGCTCTGCTGGAGGAGCCAACCATTGAAGCCGTTGTTTGTCTGTTTGCTTACTTTCGCGCTGAGTGCATTGTAAATGGAGAATAATTGCATTGCATACAAAAAGCGTCGCGATTTTTAAATTGTATAAACCATCGAGCCGGGTAGGGCAGGGAGGAGCTCCAGCAGTGGCAGCAACAGGAGCAGCAGCCTTAAATTGATTTCATTAAATGTATCAAACTTTTTCGCATTTAAAGAGTTTACGCAGTAGAACTAAGTCTAAGGCAGCTGTCGCTAAATAAACGTTGAAAATGTCTCAATTGTAACATAAATTCTGAATACCCAAACACAAAGCCACACAACCACTCAGCAGCGGCAAAACGTGGCCAAAACAATAGCGGCAGTTACATACAGATGTAGCTTTGAATGTCCTTGGCATACATTCCGTTGTAGGCTGGCACAGCCCGACGAGATGCTCGAGATGATTGCTCGCTTTGCTGGCGCCGGTATCATTATTTCAGCATCTGCCTAGAGAGACCCACGACAACGACAACGACAACGACAAGAAGGAGGACTCAACATTTTTACGGCATTCCACGAATATCTGCCGCCCACCCCCGATCCCCGTGGATGGCTGACAGCCTGCTGCTCGGAGTGGCAGTTACAACTGCAGCTGTCAGCGAGCGATCGCAATAATCGCTGCACTCAATCGATGCCAGTCAGTCGATGGCGTTATGATTTTTTTCACCAAGACATCCACACTGGCGAAGCATTGCCTTTTGTACGGCTGCTAATTGAATTCCAAACTGGCTTTTATGATCTCGCAAGTGGCATCGAGAACGTCCATGTCCATGTCGGTGTCTGGGCCTGCCTGGTGGCATTAATATTTCAACACTGGCACTGTCCGGGCTAAGCATGCCTCCGTGAGTAGTGACAGGCCGACTAGGGCCCACCATGAATGGCCAACGATTTGGCCCCGTCGACCGAACAACGTTTAATTTATTTAAGCACGTTGAGGGCTAAGCAGTCACTCTCGGTGGGGCTGGTTTGGGGCAGGTCAGGGGCAGGGGGCAAGCGACCCAGGGATTCCATTTCGATTTGCGCACTTGAGGGCAAATCTTCGGATTTATGTGGCTTTATTTTTAGCTTCGATGCTGCAAAGTGCGTTTAGGATTGGGTGGGGTTTTGGCTGGTTTTGGGGGGTGGCACTTGAAGTTCCTTTGCAATTGCCACAGAAAATTTGCAGCCAGCTAAAGCGACTGCCGCTTGCCATTTGCCAGTTGCTAGCCATAAAAAAGACAACAACAAAAGCAACAGCAACGAAGGTGAGCAGGAAAAGTAGAGTGAAAAGTAAATCCGCACGTGCCAACCCAAATTACAGAGAACACTTTCGCAGTGGATTGGGATTCAAAGACCACACAATGCAGATTCCATGTAACATTTTCCAAATTAAGCTGCGGCTTCATAATGTCCGGTTCTTAGGAGGAAACAGACCAGCGTATACTCCAATTCGGGTCCAAATTCCATTACCAATAGATGTCTGCTTGAATGGTACAAGACTCCTCCGGCCTTTACTTCCTCTTCTCTGCTCTGCTCTGTAAAAGGTGTGCAACAAATTAAGGCAAACAGACTTGCATTCGTCGTGCAAAAAGTTTCATTGGAAACTTTGCCTTCTTGGGAGCCAGCAGCTCCCACACTGGGGAGCTCTTTCGCACGAGCTGGCGAATTTCCCTCGAACAGTTTTAATCTCCCAGGCCCCTCTCACTCGCCCACTTTCAGCATCAATTCCATTCTCACCCTGAAGCTCTCTCCCTCCCTGTGTAGCCCTGACTAGCCTTAACTCGGCTTTGAGGAGTTGCCTTGGTTGTGGGGTTTACCTTGGAGCAGCAGGAGCTGGAGCAGTGGTGTGTCGTGGCGGCTGCCCGATGCTTGTACAGAGTAATGAAGGCGGGTCTCCATTGACCGACCGCCTTGGCAGTGTTTCGATTACGCGCCTCAAGTGGCAATCAGGACTGCAGAAAGGGATGCAGCTACAGGATTTGCTCGGCATTAATAACACTTAACCCTTGGCCAAAGTTGGGCAAACAAGATTTTGGCCAGCGGGAGCAAAGGCAACGGCAGTGGTGGTGGTTCCAGCATTAATCTTCGCTTTGATCTTACCCACCGAACTTACGTAATTGGAATTAATTTCAATGGTTAGTTTTCTCGAATTTTTCGTTTATTTATTCAGTATTCATTATTATTATTAACACACTCAGTAGTTTCGACTTACATCTAATGTATTTCACTTTTGTAGTTGTGTTTTTTATGTTTTCCTTTCCTTTTCCCTTTCGTTTATTAATTACTTCATTTTGTAAGTCTAACTTTTGCTTAAAAACAATCAGTTTGGTTTTGTTCAGAGTGACAGAGACAGAGAACGGGGTGGTCGGTGGTGTGGACCTCCACCCTGTTTATCTGCATATATTATATATTTATATATATATATTTATATCTATTTGTATATCAATTTATTTGTATTACGCATACGCACTGTATATTTTTGCTAGTCTGGGATTTCGCTTTTATTCTTTGTTGTTTTTGTTGTTGTTGTATATTGGAAATTAGAATTCGAATTACATTGGAGTATTGTGTAAACTGGTATGCCGTATTATTATTACAATTATTATTATTAGTTTTATAACGAGTATTATCTACGCTCTGCTTTGCCCTTCTCTTCCTTTCTCCTCTTCGCTCGGTTACCTTAGTTATTTATAACATTTACAATGAGTTCAGTTTTATAGCTGTAGTTGTAGTTCCCTCTTAGTGGTTCGATGCTCTCGTAACTGGCATGTTTTTTGCGACTGTTTACTCAACATTTTATTCATTACTCGAACAGCACTTGAACATCGCCCACTTAGGGTTTGTTCTCTCCGCTTGTGTGTGCTCTGCTGGTTGCTCTCTTGATTATTCATCTTCGTTTCGATTCGGCTTGTTGTGGTAATAGAATATTCATGAATTGTTGGTATAAATAGCAACAGGAACTGGCCCCTACGGCACTCCCACAGATGAGCCAGAGCTGTGCGGAATGGCTTGGACCCTGAGGGCCCGAAATATATATTTTTATATTGGTAACATTTTAATTTTTGCTGGCCAGTAACAAGATGTGGCGTTAACGACTAATGGATTTCTATATCGTTATTGAACGGCCGACAAACACACGCTCACTGTCTATCTGGCATTTACATTTGATTATTACCAATAATTCCAGCTCTAGGAGTCTTAATTACACTTTAAATACACAAGGCTTATTTGGCTAATTGCTTATCGACTAGTTGTTCATTAATTACAATTAATATTCAACATATAAATGCAGTTTGATTAATGTTTGCCCGTTCTCTCTCTATATATCTGTATGTACAATTTGATGATGGTGCAACAGTTTCCATTTCCATTTGAATCCCCTCCAGTTGTTGGATGTTTTATTTACAAGTTTGTTAAGGTATCTTTTGATTTTAGTTTGCAAATGGTTTTTAGCCTATTTATAGAGCAGCAGTAATTCGATTTCAGGGTTTTATCTTTTGATTTTGGGTTTCGTATGACACTTAAATATGGCTGACAATTACAAAATGGCTTAAACCTATAACTATGTGTGTGTGCCACCAGTACGTGGTACGTTTTAACTTCTCTCTTCTTTTTGTTTTCTTCCTGCGTTAATGCATTTAAATTTATGCTAAAAATTTACAGCTATGTTTAATGAAATGCCCGTGAATTATGAGCTCTCACCGCGGATCGGCTGTATCTTTGTGTGTGTGTGTGTTGGTGTGTTGGTGTGTGTGCGTGTGTGTGTGTAATGTGTCTATTGTGGCTGTTTGTTGTTGTTCACTATGGCGGATATTTATTATTACTTTTTACAATTACTTCAGCGTGGGATCCAGGGTCGTAAATTCCAATTCGCCGCGCGGCAATATCAGATCCGGGTCTGCAATATACACTTTTGTAGGTTGGTATATAAAACAAAATCAACAGCAAATGCCGGAAGCATATGTAAGAATGTGTGTGTATGTGTGTGTTTTTGTGTGTGTAAATTTATGCGATTGAAAAATGGTAGAGTGAGTGTTTATGAGTGTGTGGGTGTGTGTGGTGTGCGTGTGTGTGTGTGTGTGTGTGTTAGAGAAACAAAAGCAAAATATTTATACCGATTAGTTTTTGGCTTGTTTCGTTTTCGTTTTTCGTTTTTGGATTTTGGATTTTGTTGATATTTCTTGCAAAAATGACATCACAACAGTTGCAAATTATTATTTGAGCAGCAAAAGAAAAAGAGAGCCATTAGCACAATACGATTACATATCAAAAGCGTGACCAGACGACCATTTGTGCGCTGATAAGAAAAAAAACACAAAACGAGAATAACAACTAATAAAAACACAGGAAAAACATTGAACGAACGACACACACAAACAAATACGAGCACCAGAAACCGGAACAACACAATAACATTTCAATATTAATATTCACTTTACTAGGACGCAGCCCTACCCCCCCCTGTACCTCCCTGTCCACGCTCGTAAACAGAAAATAATTCAACAATTTCTTAATTTTTATTGGCACATTTCATTGGAATTTATGCCGGAATACATTTTATTGTGGTCCGACTGCGCGGCACAAGTGAATCTAGAGAGCCATTCAGCAGCAGCCTTCATTTGCCGCTTGTCCTTTACGATTTTGCAGTTTCTTATTTGGCGAGAGAGCGACAGAGAGCGCACCCTGTGTGATATTTTATTATTATCGCTTTTTATGTCACATTTGTGTGGCGTCTTTGAGTCATAAACACGCACAAACTAAGGCAGCAGCAGCTCTCATCTCTGCTATGCTGCGTAAGAGTATGTGGCCCCTGTGGGCTGTGGGCCCTTCACGTTTACTTTCACGCCATGCCTGACAGCATTAAAAAATGTCAAAAGTCGCAAAAATGTTGCCAGCCTGGATGTCACGGCCTCATCCAACATAGTGGGAAGCACACAAAAAAGGCCAAAGAACAGTAGCATTTAATACCCTTGCGGATGGAGCGTTTCTATGGCAGCTACATATGTGGTCAACCCATACATAGACATCTTCTGGCAAAGCAATACCCCAGAGGGTTAGGCGTTGCTAGACCACAGCATGCTACCTTCTGGCAGGGTATTTGTAGAAACTCTCTGCGAAGATGGTGCGAAGAGCGGAAGCGGAAGTGCGGCGACAAATGAATGAACGCCGCTTGACATTGCGGCTCCAGCAGGAGTGGCATAGAATGTGGGTGGGAATGGTGCGTAGGCCACATAAACAATGTTGCCCAAGCAAATTCTGTGGCATTTTTTGCGGGACTACGACGACGACGACGACGACGACGACGACGACGACATCAAAGTGCGAGTATAAAGCGTGTGTAGGGATGGTATGAATGCTTTAAGGAGTCTTTAAGATAATGCTAGGCACTCGTTGGGCCACACAAAATGGCACCGTGTGCTCATTTCGAGTGGCTGCTGTGTGCCTGCCTGTGTGTGTGTGTGTGTGTGTGTGGCTGGGTCTTAACTTTGTCTAATTAGACGAGTGGCGCTGAAGTGCACAAGAAACCTACAACCTACAACCCACTCACATAACTTACTACACAAATACGCGAGCACACACACACGATGAAGATGGCACAAGGACGAAGGCCACACAAATGTTGCTCAGACGCTGCATGTCGACGTCGCGACTCTTGACTCGCACACACAAACGGCAAGACAAACAACACCAACACAAAAAAAGAGAGAGATGCCGAGCAAACTGAATGGAGCAGCATGAAATGAAACAAATGTGCACACACACACACACAAAAACGCAGAAAAAAGCAGCAAACGACGAAACAAAAAATGTCTCCCTCACCCCCACACATGCACAGAACAGAGGGTGGCAGCAATGACTGTGGGGCATACAGAGTCAAACGAATTTGACTGCGCCAAGGGGCCGGGCTACGGCTCGGGCTCGAGCTCCCAGCAGTCACCTGAAACGCGAACAAGCGGCAGAGAGATGCGAGGGCACGAGGGACTAGCATATGCAATTAAAAATGTTGGCTAATGACAGCCACTGCCAAGATGGCAGTATATGGCGCAGTCGTTCGCAGTAGCTCACTTGTCTGCCCCCGAGTTACAGGGCTGAAAGTGCGGCATGTGTGCGTTCTTTATTTCAATTTCACTTTGCAGCAAAGTAAAGCTGCATTTGAAATATAAAAAACACATTTAAATATAGCATAACACTTGAAGAGCTGTCCGTGTGGGGGAATGCAGAATTGCAACTTCAAGTTCTTATTTGAGCTTCAAGAGACAGGCGACGTTGACAGGCGACATTTTTGGGGCTGCTTTTGTGGGGCGCTCTGTAAGTGTAATCCCCCATCGAGGAGTGCCTGCCCCTAAACTGTGTTCCCTTTAGTTTTGCGTCTTTGGTGTAACAGCCACTCGTACAGCGTGTCTGGACAGAGCGCTCCTTGGGCGCACTTCAGCTCTGACTTGGGGCACTTGTTAGTGTCTTGTAAGCCAGTTGACTTGGTTTATGTGCTGACGGGAGGACACGAGGACACTACACATATGCACACACCCTGCTACACCCGCCTGACAGCCAAATGTATGTGTGTGTGTGTGTGTGTGTGTGTCGGGTCGTGTCAGAGCACCCCCCACCCACCAAAGCACACACATAAATTAAGGCGGCTGACAGGCGGGCGGAAGCGGCAGCGGCAGCGGAAGAAACAAGAAAACAAAACGAAGGCGGGGAAAAAGTAATGAAAATATAAAATTAAATCGCTGACAAAATCAAATTTAGCTAATTTGTGACATTTGAGCCCCACGCAGGCCAGTGCTGAGGCCGGGGCGAAAGCGAGGTGCGGGCCCCATGTTGTGTTAGCAATAATATCACGTATACGACACATATGCCCATTAAATAATATTTGCATTTGCCATCATGTCGGCATGCCTCTCCCGGACTCCCTATTTGCGAGAGTCAGAGTGTGCCAGTGCGTATGGGTGTGCTTATTTTTGTGTTTTAATTTAGTGCTTTCGAAATAATTAAAATTTATGCAATTCAAAGTTAAAACAAAGTCTGCATGAGCTCGCACAGCAAACAGAACGGCAGAGCGGGCACAGGGGCCGAGGAATGTCAGAATATTTTGCTAAATTTGTTGCTGTCTGAGGCACAATCACACACACAAAGAGAGTGAGGGAGAGACAGAGAGAATCGTGTACATATGTTTGTTTGCACTGGCGTGTCCTGCGCTTCAAAAATTTATGCAAAACGTCTAAAAGGCTTGCCACTGCAGCAGGATGGGGAAGCATGGGGGTGTGAGCAGTGAGAGGATTGGGGCAGACAGCATAGAGAGAAATAAACACAAATGTCAACGAAAAACAAAGACTGCGCAAACAGTCCGCACTCCCAGTCCCTCTGCCCCCATGGCCCATCACTGTCATCACTGTCTTGCCCCCAGTTTTAGAGCTGGGATCTGCAGCATTTATCCCTTTTTAAACAAAATATTTGACTGCTGCTGCTGCTGCTGCTGCATTCTCTGGTGTTCGTATTGTCGTTGCTGTCTGTGTGTGTGTGCGCCTGTTCCCTGGCCTCTAATTTTGTGGCCAAACAAAATGGCTGTCAAAAAACTCATAAACTTCAATTAGCTTTTATGTAATATCCGTGATCCCTTGATCTGACTAATTTTCTGGTTTGCAGGGCTTTCAAAAGGGCGCTCGCTCCATCCGTAATCATGGCAAATTCAGCAAATAAAAGGAAATTCTCTTGCAATTTTTGTTTCATTTGCATTGCAGATAAACCATGTGAAGAAATCTAGCAAAAATAGTTTCGGGTGCACAAAGGTAATAAAGGAAATTGGATGGGCGACATGTGAATGCATGAATGTTGCATCAGCAGCTACTCGTAGCAGCAGCAGCAGCAGCAGCATTTGCAACAAGAAATATAAATTGGGATCCTAAATGGACGACAAATTAAAATGTGAAATGAAGCAAATATGCCATGCCATTGGTTTTGCTGGAATGGTTCATTAAATATATTTTTGGGATTCAACTCCGCAGCTCTCTTGTCGACAGCCAATGCTCCAAGCGGACAGCAGACACCAGACAGCGGACAGCAGCATGGCTTAGACATGGCAGCCCATCTGTGTTCTGGCCTGAAGTTGCAGCTGCAACTGCACTTGTTTCTGGTTCTGGTTCTGGTTCTGTTTTTGTTCCTGTTCCTGGGTCTGGGTCTGGTTCTGTTTCTGTTTCTGTTTCACTTTCTGGGCAAGTTTCTGTTTGAGTGGGGGCGGCTGTTGCCTTTCAGCCTGCTGCACAGATTTAGTTACATAAAATTTACTTTGCATACATTTGGGCGGCCAGGCAGAGTCACTCCCACCAGCAGCAGCATTAGCTGCTGTGGCAACTGGCTGAAGCTGTGGCACGGCCACAACCACGTTCGAGATGGTGGCGGAGACGGGCGAGGCCAGGCGGTAGCCGCTGTTGCCCGGCTGGCTGGACGTTACAAGCAAAGGTAGGAGCACATCGCCTGGGTGGATAACAGGATAACAGGAACACAGTGAGTCTCGTTAGTCGCAACAGCTACAACGGGCAGCAACTTTGCAGCTCAACTCTGTACGTTGGAGTATATGTATTTATTTTTGGGTGGGGGATTGAACTACATTGCTTTAAGTACTGGGCGAGAGGTATTTACAACTTCAAGTTGAGGATTAAGACAGTTTGATTGTGAGTTGAAAGGGTTTTTCATAACCTAGGGGGTTGGAGCAACAGAGGAATATATCTATAAAGATACACAGAGAGAGAGAGAGAGAGATGCATACATAGCGAAAGAAGGAGATAGAAAGAGAGAGGTATATTTGCTACGTGGGAACTGACGCTGTGTCTTCTATTTGGGAGTGTGTGAGGAGTGGGCCTACTCGTACTCGTAACAGGTGCCTTGCTAATGCGAAATAAGTTTCCAAATACTTGAACTAATCGCTGCCAATTGCCGTGTGACTCGTTCCAATTCGAACTGAAATTCGTATTTGAATTCAATTCAAATTCAAGTCCATTCAATTCAACACAAATTAAATGAAACGTAATGAAATGCTGTGTACTTGGATCAGCGCTAATTAGAAAACTGTGTGTCAAATGCTACTTTTGTGGATGCCTAATAAAAGGGCAATTAGTTGTTGGATTTTACATGTGTGTTGGTGGCTGGCAACTGGCAACTGGCAAACCCACTCGATGTTTTACCGCATCATTAGCGCCAGCTCAAGCCAACAATTCAGAATGTAAAATATTTTTCATGGTAGATCCCCTTTGAGTACCATTATGTGGAACATATTTATGTAGTTCTATGTGCAAATCCGTCCAAATGGTGCCACTCGCAAAATGCATGCGAAAATACTTGACGAGAAATGAGATTTTTCAACAGCAACCAAATAAATAATAATTACATTAGAATTCAGACAGAACAAAAATAGAGAAAAAATAATTGATATTTCTACATTCGAATTGCATTCACAATTTATTCATTTTGTTTCGTTTCGTTTCGTTTCGTTTGGCTGCATTCCGAATGTAATGTGACTAAAGGAGATGTTCAGCTAATCTACATAATGGCTACAAAACAACATAAAGATCTATGATTGTTTTTACTATAAATGTGAGTGTGTGTGTGTGTGTGTGTGTGTGTGTGTGTGTGTGTGTGTGTGTGTGTGTGTGTGTGGTGTATATACAAGCAATAAATGTGTGTGCAAGAGAACTATGTACAGATGGTAGCAAAATTCAATTGGGCAAATCAATGAACTAAAACTATGAATACAAATTAATGTTGAGTGCGTACTTCAATGGCAAACTGAAAACTCGTTGAGCAAACCAAGTGGGATGAATTATAAAATATACATAAATGCATATACGTATGTATATGTAGATAGGTTTATGTAAGGATAAATTGATGGCTACTTGACTACAACTACAACTACGAGTACAATTTGAACTACGGACTGACTAGGACTACAGCTTGTTGAGTATAGATTTTGGAATAGTACCGTTTAGACTGGGCTGCGCGTACTGAATGAAGCTCTCCGAGATGTAGTGATGTGGTCCGGCCACGCCCACAATGGCACCGCCACTCGAGCCGACGCCTGGTATGCCTCCACCGCCGCCACCCCCTCCGCACAGATGCGAGTTAACGGGTGTAACGCGCGCTCGTATCTCAGCCGCTCGACCGCCGCCCTCCTCCAGCTCATTCAGCTCGTCCTCCTCGATGTACATGCTGGGCACATCGTTCCGCGCCGGCCTACACACCATGGAGAGAGAGAAAGGGGAAATTTAGTGAATAATAGAAAAAAGCAACCGCAAAATCTATTAAAAGTTTGCACGCCTATCCCAAGAGCGTCAGGTCTCTGGCAAGTTGGTAATAGTTCCCAAGGCAGAAGCCCGCATGAAAAACAGCTTAACAAACTTTGGACAAAACAGGCGAAAAAATAGAACTAAGCCACAAATTCAAAATTTCAATAACAAAAGCAACATTCAGAGGCGACCATCGGAGACCGTCACCTGGGGAGCGACTGCAGCAAAACTTTCCCAAACGAAAATGGGTGGAAATGAAAACATAATTTATTTAGTGGCCATGGCAGACTGCGTATGCGGAATATTTGTAATTCTTCGAAGTGGAATTTAATGAATTTTAGGGGGGGCCGGGCCCATCCACCGCACTGCAATAATAAATATTGGCAATATAATTCCATTTCTCGCTGGGGGACTTTCTAATTTTAATCAGCCCGCTCGATGGTCCGTAGTAAATTAAATATAAGCCCGACTGCCACTGGGAGCGCTAATTACAGCGGCACACACTCGCTCTCTTATCAGTCGAAACTTTTGCCAAAAGATACACACACACACACATGGATCAAATATTTGCACAAATACTTTTGCCGCAAAAGGCAAATCATTAAAATTTATGCACAGACGCACATGGGAATCGATGGGATGGGTACATGGGCACATTGTCCACCTGCCAGCAGGTGATGCTGAAATTGTATTCATGCACAGAGACCCACCCGAAGCGGGCCCTGCTCGGCTGCTGTCTGACAGTTGGGATGACCATTTAATGACCCGCATGCGGCTGTCGCGCTTTGATGTGCATGGGACTGGCGGGGGTTGACTATTTTCAGAAACTATAATTAATATTTCGCTGGTTTGTTTCGCTTTGAAGTGGCACGCCTGAATTCATTATTGAGCAATCAGCAGCCGCAGCAGCAGAGGAACATTCAAGGAAAAAAAGTCATCCGTCTGGGCTCCGATCCAGATCCGGGCCATGCCCTGGCAATCAACCTGCACCATCGATGCCAAAAGAGGTCTGTGGCTGGACTGGGGCAAGCTGCATGTTTATCTTTCATTAGCCGGGCAGACAGTTGACTGAGTTGGAGCACAGCTAAAGCTATGGCCACAGCTAAGCAGCTGCTTAATTACCCACCCACGAGAGAGTTGGTGGAGGATGGACCAGCGACCCAACCCGACCCTTCCGCGCTGATTTCCTATCTTAAATGGAAACTTTCACTTGTGCGGCTGCCTTTGCTTCCGGTGCTCGTTTTCTCCTACAAGTTCTAGGCACTGTGTGTCCTCTTTTGGGTCGTCGTCGTCGTCGTTGTCGTCAGGTGCAGGTTTAATTAATTTAATTACAGACTAAGCATAATTTACTGGGCAGGTGCGTGCCCTTTGTGGGCCTAGCTATAGCCGCGCTAATCGATTGGCCCCTCAAACTGTTAAGACGATCGTCTTTAATGAACCCGACATTAGCCGGGCCTGGACCCGATTCGCTTCGCCCTTTGATGTGAGACACCAGGGCCAACAGAGTTTAAAGAAGGACAGGCCCGGCCTGCGGCAAAATTGATTGAGGAGCGCCCATTTGCGCTCGGGTCCGGCCGTCATTTAATTACATTACATTCCCCCGTAATAAGCATAAGCGTGGAATTCTCGGCAAGCACTGGGAACTGCTGTCAGTCACGTGCTCCACATAAATAATTTCGTAATTATTTCTGCACACAGAGAGCGAGAGAGTCGGAGAGACACTAGCCAGGATGCCGGCAGCAAACAATTTCATTATTAGTTTTTCTACGGGCTAGATAACGACCAGAGGAGGGAAGGGACTCAGGAATCAGGAATCAGGAATCAGGACTCACCGCATGCTCTTGCGCACCTCCTGCGGCTCAGGTGGCCGCGGCCTGTGCCGGCAGACGACGACGATGCCGGCCACGATAATTGACGTCACAATGACGGCGCCTATCACAACGGTGGCGGCGAGTATCAGGAGCGTGGATTGCTTCTCCGGCCCGTTGCCTATGCTGGCTCCGGTGCCCACACCTCCAGCGCTGCTGCTGCCCCCCGGCCCGGTACCGCCATGATGCGTTGTTTCTGCGGGCGTCGGGTCCTCCCTGGGGTCGCTCGATTCATCTGGAGAAAAAGAGATGAAATAGAGGATGGATTATACGTGCATATGTAGATTGTGAATGTAGTAGATTGTGTGTAGGTATGGGTGGGAGGCAGCTTCAGATAGTTTTGCGGAGGCTGCCGCTCGCTATGATTTGTTATTTGCTCGAAAATTATTTTGGATGCTGATTTGTGTGTTTGCCTCTCCACTCGTCGTTTATTTATTTATTTGTTTTGTGCCGCTTTCCGTTCCCCCATTGCTTAACTGATTGCTTTGACTGTATGTACTGTACGCCCTGTTTGTTTACTTTGCCATGCCCTTTGGCCTCTGATTCAGTATTGAAAATTGAAATTAGCCAAAAAACTACGAAGAGAATAAATAATCGCAGTTTCCCTGTGTGGAATTATGGAAATCAAAGAAATGGCAGCTGAATCCTACTCGGCAGCTTATTACTGGCGATTAGAGCTGATGGCACTTGCCACGAAAATCTGCGGAAATTATTTTACGAGCCACATGTAGGGCGGGAGGTAGGCAGGGTGTAGCCAGCCATTGTTTATATTTATTAGATTTCCAGCAGGCGGAAATTGCAACATAATGCGTGTGTGTGTGTGTGTGTGCTGGAGGGAGCCCAACTGATTGTAAGATGATCCCCAGGCAAGATTTATGCCAGACATTCGTTAATGCCAGGCTCTGTTGTGCTCTCTCGCTCCTTGGCAGCGCAAGATTTCCGCTCCATTTGTGGGCCGTCAAAGCAACGGCCTCGGAATTGAAACATTGCCAACATCATGCCTCAGCCTCAGCCTCGGTGCTGGGCCCTATCCTTTTGGCTTTTGAAGTGAGCGTTTGAGTGGAAATTGCCTACACCTGCGGCTCAATTTAATTTTTGTTCTTGCCTCTTGTTATTGGCTTGGCCTTTGCCACTGCCACTGGGCGGCTCACCGATGCCATGGTTCACGGCATCTTCGTCATCATCTCTGCCTGTTTTTTAATCAGTTTGCTGGGCTCAGTCTCAGTCACAGCCTCATGCTCATCCTCATCCTTGTCTTTGGTTTACCTTTTTTTTTCTTACCCCCATTATAGCAGCCAGGGAGCATTTGCTTATTTATTTGCTGGCTGCTTTGCGCTCTCCTTTGATGCCCGATGCTTTTCCCCAGCTCAAGTGGCCACTTTGCTTGATATTTTTCACTTTTTGCTCGCCTTGGCTCGCCGCGAGGAGCAGCAGCAGCAGCAGCAGCAGCAGTGGCGTAATAAATTCTCCTGATGAGTTCTGCGTAAACTGATTTAAATCAGCGTCAGCTGATTTGCCTTCATCTTATTTATTTGCAAAATCTTGTTAGCTGCAGCTACTGCTCGTCCGACCTTGCTTGAATTTATAGCCCCACACATGTACGTGGGGCAGGGGATCCCCTGGCACCATGTACCCACCTAAATAAAAACGCCTGAGTGGGCCATGACTAGAAATAGGCATAGAAGCAGCCACTGGGCCACACAGGCAGCTGTTAAAATTCCGCATAAATTAGGGGCAGTCTCCTACACACAGAGGCGCCATCCATGGACTCCATGGAGTCCACAGTCTCCGGCTCTCTCGCTCCATGTAATCACAGCCACTGCTCAGAGGCCGAATTTACGAGCCGCCATTGTGTTGTTCACGGGCACGGACAAGCAAAGACAGAGACAGCGAGTCCGTGCAGGACTGTGGAAGTGTAAGCATTAACATACGAGAGTAACTGTTTTTTGGGGCCTCTGATTCCAGGCAGCTGTTTCGTCGGTAACTAAGTTTCGGCAGTGAATCGAACATTTGCGTATCAAACGCAATTAGTGCCATTAAATCGGGCCAATATGAGTGATTTATGGTTAAGGGGCGGGGGCAACGGTGAGCAAAGGAAAATGAAAATGCCCCAAAAATGGCCAGAAAAGCTTCCGTGCGGTTCCCCATTGCAGCAGCGGCAGCAGCAGCAAATGGCAGTGGAAATGGTAATGGAAATGCAGATAAAAATAAAAATCAGCATGGAAATAATGACAGCATTGTTGCTGGCACTCGTAGTGGTGTGTGCGCACACTTCTGAGGGAGACTGTAAGGAAAAGTAAAGAAAGTGAACGAGAGTGAGAGAGAGAGAGCGAGCGTGGATGGAGAACGTGAAAGGAACAATAAAAGAAAAGTGTCTATGGTGGCCGTTAAGCAAAACGAAAATTGAAGCAATTCCGCTTACGCTTTTTCGCTCTCACTTACACACAGAGACAGACTGACACACATTCGCACGCACATGTGAGTGTGTACACACAGAGAGAGCGAGTCGAGTCGAGTCACATTATGTCGTTAGGCTGGAGCAAAATGAAGAGGCTGTTGCGGCACGCCCCTGCGTATGCGTAATATGCGTGTGCCCCACTCAACGAATTGATGGAAAATGCTGAAATGCTTTACGCTCCACTGCATAACTCAGTCAGTGGATTAGAAAAGGGCGGCCCATCCTTTAGGCAGGCAGCCTGACTGGCTGGCTGTCAGCCAGGACGGGCAGAAGGACTTTTGGCATCCAGGAGTTGCTCCTCCAGGTTTTACTCGTGTGTGTGTGTGCCTGGGTAGCCATGTGCGAAGTTTTCGCGGCGGCTGATTGAAGACGATTTCCCCGAACTTGCGTTGATTTGAAAATGCAGTCAAGCGTTGAATTAGACAGTTCCGTCCTCAGCTGGTTGGGGACCAGACCCAGAAACTCGTAGACTGCCAGCTCGCTTTCCCTTCTCAGGCCATTTTATTGGCCCAGAGCAAAAAAAAGTGACCCACAAAACTTGTAACCGGGTGCACATTTCTTTTTACTATTTATGTGATTAGTACGAGTGGCTCCCTCGTTTCTTTTTTCCTGCTCAAGTTGTCTCGTGCCGTTTCTTGCTTGTGTTTTTTTGGTTGGGTATACTCACCATATGGTCCCAGCTGTGCGGCCACGCGTACGCGCTCAATCACCACCGGCGGTTCGCTTCGTCCTTTGGCGTTGACGGCGTAAACTAAAAATTGATATTCACGTCCCGGCTCTAAATTATTCAAACGAAACTGTGGACTGTTCTCCTGCATGCGAAAGATGGGTGCAGATGTCGCCTGAAATGAGATACAACACATTTACTCGTACAGATACAGACACATATGTATGTAGACTTCTATTTGGGATATGTATGACAACGGGCGCATATATAATTCACCCGCCATATGGACTCTGGAAGCTCTCTCTCTCTGTGATGTGCGTACAAAGCTGGAGACGGGAAGCTCCCCATGTGCACGCGCACGGCCAAGTATGACATGTATTTTTAACTTTTTGGGGCAGAACCCAACGCATAAATAATTATTCATGCCTAAAAAATATCAAATCAGCCACAGCACAGCAAAGAGCGGCACAACTGTACCGGCACCGGTACGGGAGGATACGCTGACCGCAACAGAAAACAGAAACAGAAAACTGGAGGCAGTGTCCATGGGACAGTGTCTGGAAATTTTAAACTGAATATCCGTTTGCCGTAATGGGATACAATCGAGTGAGCTCCGTTGGTTACGCACAAATTCCCACTCAAGTAAGCGTAAGTAATTTATGTTGTCCTTGCGGCACTTTTGCCGCACCCAGCCACACTCGCACTCTCCCACTCTCCCACTCTCTGCCACATTTATCCCTAGGTCTGTGCGTGTGGGGATGTGTGTGTTGCCTTTTATCTAGCATGAAACTTTAAAGCTGCCAACCAACGGACCAATGCGTGGGTCATACTTTGCCCAGAGTATGAGTGCTGGAACTTTCCATCCTCATCATGAGCTTCATCAGCAGCATCAGCACCGTGATCATCCTCCTGATGAGCTTTGCGCTTGGCTACTTTGCTAATAAACTCGCCCCGGCAAGCGCTTCATCAGTAAGCACCCCTCAGACACGGACCAAGACCCGGACTCCAGTTGTTGAAAGCAACCAAACGAAATGAAATGAAATTTTCATATGATATTCTCATTTACGAGTGACAGAGATAATTTAATAACTCAGCATGCACTCGCTTGGTTCGACCAGAAAGGCACAAAGGGTATTGCCCATACAGGTGGGGGGGAAGTGCAGATCTGGGGCTTGGCTTTGCACATGAGGCAGCGCTGGATGGGGGACTCTTGTCATTAATTATGTTGTCCCTTTTACACTTGAGTTGAGCAGCCAAACTCCCACTCCCTGTCCAAGCTGGACCCTAAATATTTATTAATAACTCGAGCAGAAAAGTCAAAGGACATGCACACTAATTGACCATATGGATTTCAAGTGAATTATTTCTCGGACTACTCTAGTTTAAACGCTCTCTTCGGCTGTGCTCCTTGCTACTGGTTGCTGGTTCTCCTTTCTGTTTCTGCCTTCTGGCTGTTTGCTGAATTGTGAGTAAATTTTAATTTAATTGAGCAATTTTGCATTCCTGTTATGTTCGTTACGAGAGAACTTATCAACTTTGGATAACTCGATTGGGGGGGAGGCACTCACCTGATCGTTCAGCGTGGATATCTCATTGTCGCCCAGGCCAATGGCCTCGCCAAACTGTCCACGTCCCTGGCTGGGGCCCGTCGCACCCGAGTCGCTCGAGTACAGCAGATCTCCGCCCACAACTTCGAGCATGAAGTATTGCGAGAGTCCGCCGTCGCTGCCAGCCACACAGACCACCTCCAGAATGGTGTCGTTGCGCAATTCGCAGGCCTTTGGTGCCTCCGGAGTATCTACAGAGTAGGAGGAGGAAAGACAGAGAGAGAGAGACAGCATAGATAGCAGTTAGTCATAGTCATGGTGAAGCCGTGGCTTAATGGGCCCGCAGACCCTTAATTACATTTAAGAGCAGCTCCCACAATTTTGCATTTGCTTTTGCTTTTGGTGGCTTTAAACGGCACTTTGGCTCCAAATAGTACGCGCACAGGCGGCAGTTACCGATGCAGTGCCACGCCCTCAGTTTGCATTAATAACAGCCAGATTCGGTATATAGTCTTGGCATCGTCGTGGTATCTGCTACTACTACTACTACTACTCCCCCATAATAGCAGGGAGTCCGCCAGCCCGACGATTATTTGGCAACATTTTGGCCAAGTCAGAGCACCAGCTGGGGGGCAGTGGCACCCCTCCCTACCACTCGGCACATACACTCGCCAATTATGTAAGTAGATCCTTATGTGTGCATAAGAGATAGACTCAGACCGACACGGATACGGACACAGACACGGATACAGACACCGGCAGGCCAACACCAACACCAACACCAACTAACACCTAAACATACAGAGCAATCTTGGTGGTGGCTGGTGGCTGGTGGCTGGCGTCTTGTTTAAATTGCGGTGAAGATGGAGGTAAATGCCGGGCGGCATCTTCTGGCAACAACTTCCTCTACTTACTTGCAGGGAGAATGTGCACCAGACAGGGCGTAGTCTGGCGTCCCACCGCATTGCTGGCCCAGCAGGCAAGCGTTATTAACTCGGAGTCGGTTTGCGGCAGATACGTCACCGTGCTGGCCAGTCCATTCGATTGTATCCTCGAGTTGAGCACCTGCAAGGGTGAGAAGGGATGGGAAGGGAAGAGAAGAGAAAAGGCACCAAAGCCAAAGGATTAGAGTGCTCTCCGACTCGTCTTAGCTTTCATTCTCATGGGTGGGAGGTAGGCGAAGGACTTATGTGCAGTTCTCGAACCCAAAAGCGCACGGAGGCAGGCGAGCATAAATATTTGAAGGCAAATAAGTTTTTATTGCTAAGCAAACGGAACGAGTTGGAGACTGGATAAGTCATCCTGTGGCTCTATGGATTTTCGTGCAGATTTTCAAATAACTTTTGCGGCTAAATGAATTACTTTATTTATTGGGCACAGCTGTCCCAGTCGCATATGCATGTCTATCGGTTCGTTTGGTCAGCAATTCAGATTGGGTCTCCCGCTACCTCCCGCTACCATCTATTTGCCTTCCTGCCAAATATGCAGTCCCTGCATTCAGTCCTTGTGCTTTACACCTAAACGGTTTGCATTTTAAATTTACTCGTACTCGAACGAGGGAGAGAGAGGTGTGCTGTGTCTGTGCCTGTGCCTGTGTGCTGTGTTTGTCCCCCGCTTGGGACTGCACAAATTTATACATTTTGATTAAATTTTAATTCAGTCACGTACAGTGCACGATTCCGATTCCCGCTTGGTCCTGGGCAGGCAGCGAACGAACGAACGACCGAACGACCGAACGAATGAATGAACGAGCAAATGTCGAACGAAAATCCCAGACAAACCCTCGAGTACGAGTATTTAGCACAAGTTTTGCTAATACTTGGGGTTGTGGACCGACTTCGAACATGGTTCCGGCTTCAGTACTAGTCCCTGGCGGTAATTGCGACAACCAGAGTCCGAGTACTCGACTTACAGCACGTTTCCAGGCATAATTACAGGCACAATAAGTTTTGTTCGAGACTGGGTTACCTTTTGCCCTTGTGGTGGTAAGAGACTTACCGGGGACACGTTGCGGGTGTTGTTGTATGTCCAGCTGAATCGAACCGAGTCCGGTGGATCGGCATCCACCTCGCATTTGACCTGTATCGAGTGCATGTTGATGGCTCCAATGGATGTTTGCTCAGTGCCAGGCTTACAGCGTGGAGAGACTGCAAAGTGAGAGAGATAAAGAGAAACATCATAAATAAACGAGAAAATGTATGTGAGTAAGCTTCACTCTCCAGTTGTTTGGCAGGCAAAAAGTTTCCATTTGAAATTTGTTGTGCCACAACCCCTCGCAGTGCAAACAGTCTCTCCCGCTCGGGATGGGTTGGGTGCCGCAAAAATACACACAAAAATATGAATCAAGAGAGAAGAGAATGTGAATCCTCGATGGGGAAAGTCGAGGGGAGGCAGCTACATAGCTACATAGCCTTGAGCATAGTAATTAACATGTTTCCGTTTCACGAGCTGTGGGGAGTTCGAGCTGGCTGCTGTTGCTGCTTAGCGGGTAAGCAGGCAGGTGGTATTGGAGCAAAAAGAGATACTCCTGCCTTTGCTTTTACTTTCACTTCTCGCTGGAAATGAGGGCAGATATGCGGAAGCAGCAGCAGCAGCAATGGCACACAGTGGCCCCAGGCATTTTGTGTCTGTGTGCTTGAATATTTTCCCAGTTCGTTCGGCGCTGAAAGCCGCTTTTAAAATGGAAGTCACGCCGTGGCAGATAAGCATTTGAAGCTCTATTACTACGTTTCTTTATCTCAAGTCAACTGCATTTCAGCGTCGAATACTTAAGCCATCTGTCAGTGTCTAAGTCCCCTGTCTGCATCTCCACTCAGTGTGTGTGTGTTTGTGTGTGTGAGTGTACTTGTTGCTTGTGTGTGTGTGTGTGTGTGCCTGTGTGCAAATGTGGAGAAAAGTTACCTTAAGCCAAAAACTCAATGCAAAGACTCTCTCTCTCCCACACTCCCTCTCTCCATCTCTTGCCTTTTCTGGCAGCAACGGAAACTAGAAACTTTCATAATTTCAAATATAAACTACTTAAACTGTCGTATAGCTTATGGAGTGGGTGGAAATGCATTTCAGTTTGTTCGGTTCGGTTCGGTTCTGTGGGGTACTATATTTTTTGTTGCTGTTATTGCTGTAAGTTGACAACACAATGAAGGTTGAAGCCCACGTTGGGACAGGCAAGGCAACAAAGGCTACGCCAAACTCCTTACAATCTTCCCTTCGATGAATGAATGAATGAATGAATGAATGCATGAATACTAAACCCCACACAGGAGTGGGCGGAGCAAGACGTTCTCGTGTTCTCTTTTGTGCGATTTCATGTCATGTTCTTTGTATTTAAGGCTCACATTGTGTAAGCTGAATGAACCTACTCGTACTCGTGCATCGATGGTAAAGGTTTCTCTGGATTTATGCAAGCAAATCGCTTGTACCGAGGGTTTAAGATATCCACATTAATCACAGCAGCAAATAGCCAAAGGCTATGCTCCCCCGAGGCAAGGAGTTTATGAACAAGTTGGCCGAGTAAAAATTGCGTGCTGGATTTATAGTCAAAACTTTTAGTCAGTAAATCAATGGCGGTTGCTTTTAGGCCAGCGGCGGCAGCAGCATCAGCAGCAGCACAAAAATTTCAACAATTGTAAACAGCGCAACGGCACATAGAGAGAGAGAGACATAGACAGATACACAAATGGAGTTGGTCATGCATCATTTCTGAGCAATTTCCCCATCCTGTTCTGCTCTGCCGAGGAAAGTTGGGTAACTTTTTATTTGCGCTCTGGCTGCAAGTTGATTTTATTCTGTGTAACTTCCGCTTCCGGCCTGCGCCATGTTATTTCATCATGTTGCTTTTCCATCTTATTGGATGGATATCTCTCTCTCTCTCTCTCTCTGTGTGTGTGCTGAAGAAGTGCTCTACTTACACTGCAATCTCAGCGTCAGGCTGGAGCTGCGCGTCTCGCCCTCCGTGTTGGTGGCCCCACACGCATATGCACCCGCACTCTCCCGCTCCAGCTGCGTCAAGTGCATTATGTCCGTGCTCTCGCCCGACATACGCATGCCCTGCAAAAGAGAGAAAGAGAGAGTGAGAGTTGTGAACAAGAATATTATTATGAGTTTGCATTGTGAGTGCCTTGCAAATCCACATTGATCCATGGCATAGAATGCATTGAAAAGAAATGCTTTCCTGTTGCCACAAATTGCGGTATTTCAGCTGCATTGTCCGCCACACCCACACACCCACTTGCAACACTAAACTGGCCAACCGCAATGGAGCCCGATTGCTATGCTCTCGCTTGCCAGTAGGACAACAGCGGCGGTTGGCCTGGCCTAATGCGGTCACTTAGTGGGCGCGCAGGGTTTAAACGAATTTATTAAATCAAATTAATGCCGCATGTGTGTGCGTGTGTGTGTGTGTGTGTGTTTTCGGCATTTGTCATTTGGCATTCGGCGCGACCGGACACGAGTTTGCAAAGCATTTTAATGGAAATTGATGCCGACAAGTGATGTGATTCCATTGATTCCTGGCGGATGCAAACTTCTGCTCCCTCCATTAATGCTGCTCGGCTCTCGAAATAATTCGATTAAATATTTAGTTGCAGAACGCCGGTTGACATTTGCACACGAATTTAATTAATTCATAATAATAATGCAATTTAAATGGCTTAAGTAGGATGCAGCATGCAGCATGAAGCATGAAGCATGCAACATGCCGACGCCCACGCATCTCTCCTCTCCGACAGCAGCATCGAGTGCGGCACGTCCTGTTGCATGTCGCGTTATGGATACGCCACAAATTGGCCATGCTGCATCATTTGATTATTTGCAAAATTCATTAAAGGCTGCCTGATGGAGTTCCGTAATTGCATTGCCAGTGGCCCTTGTCCAACGAACCATTTTGTCACGTAAGAAAGCTCAGTGTGTCGTTTTATTTAATTTCTTTATGGCATTCTCTCTCCTCTTTGTATTATTAATTTTAAGACCACTTTGTGCAGCTGGGCAAAACTTTAACGATGACCAAGTGAAAAGTTTGGGGACCGAAGCCCGAAGCCGATAAGAAAAATCTATGTGGAGGATCCAACTGTCGTCGAGGAACTCCTCGCAGAAGTGACAAAGTTTCGCACAACTTTTTTTGTGCACATTTGGCGCTTCGTTTCTCATATAATTCTTTCTGCCTATTAATGGCAAGCAGGAAAAAAGGAAAAAAAAGAAATTAAAATCAAAAATCAAAGTGTCCCAAAATTCTGCAAAAGAGAAGAGAAGTTTTCTTGTGGCCGTCCACTGCCAAAACGATTTTGGCAATTTGTTAAATGCCCCACAAGAGAACGTGGGTGGCAGCAACATAAGAAAAGAAAAATGAAAAATGAAAAAGGAAAAGCAAAAGTAAAAATAAAACCAAGGAAAGACGAAATATGAGCTTGGGTTTTATGGTTTTCGCTAGTTATGAAAAATGATGATGTGACCATGTGGACAAAACTGTCAAAGGATGTCAGAATCATGCGGTTTAATAATAAAAAAAACCCAAGACAAAAGTCAAAGCCCACAAACCCACAAAGGAATGTCCAATGTCCTTTGTCCGCCTTCGTCTGAGCAAGCGATTGTGGCAATCTCAATCTCTTTCGGTTTATTTGTCGCATGATTAATAGTTAAATAATTTGCGACACGAATGGACTTCAATGGACATCATGAGCCAATTATAAGACATTTGAAAAATGAGCGCAACATTTGTTGGCCAGCCACATTCGAGTCGCACCCCACGTGAAACTCGTGGCAGGTCTTAAAGCTCGATGTGGCAGCAGCCGTCTTGGCAGATGAAATTAAACCGCAAAAGTGTCTGCTTATGATGCCACAGAAATGCGGATGCCTCGGGGCCAGCACAGCCCCGAAAATTGATAATAAAATTTACCCAAAAAGAGAAAAAATGAAAAAGAAAAGTGTCTGCTGATACACGTCAGCTGTTGGTCGTTAGATGGTGGCAGGGGGAGAGATGGGGTACAGATTCGCAGAGCCACATGGCAGTACTTACATTCTTGAACCACGAGTAGCTGGTAACCGGAGGCCTGGCATCCGCACGGCATTTGAACGTGACATTCTGGCCCTCGGCGCGCGTCACCACTCGACTGGGATCCTCGTTGGCCAAGTGCACCGACACAGTGGGTGGATCTGTAAAGAGAAAGAGGATTGGCGGAGTGGATAAGTAAGTGCGGGCATCCAACTTAATGAGCGCTACAAATTGCTGAATAAAAGTCAAAATAATAAACCGGAATGGCTCATGAGGTGAACTCGGTACACAGTCGCCCAAGCCCAAGCCCAAGCCCGAGCCCTTGCCCATTGCCCTCCCTCAATCTCAGTTATGTCCGATCCAGACAGCATTGCGTAATGTACTTAACTCCAGCTGGCAAGCAGGGTGGAGCCTCGGACTCGCCTCTCCTTTTGTACATCCTTTGGGCCTCAGCCCACTGCCGCCGCTACACGGCCTCTGACCACACGCCAAATGGGACTATTAGTTACGGTTGTAAAAATCTAATACGCGTCGGAGACTGTCGGCGCCACTTGGCCCCAAGCAGTCCCCATGGACAGAGGAATGAGTAGACTGGGGGATGGACAAAACTATGGCTACCATTCTCTCGTCTTAAGTTTTTGGGGAGCAAATGTCAATGGCGATGGGGTGTGGGCGGAAGAAGATGTACAAAAAAATTGCTGACTTTTATGGTGAATTATTAAAAAGCCGCACAAAACGAAAACCCAAATGAAGTCGGCTGGAGATGACGAGGTCGGTTCCGGCCTGATTTGAGTGCAGGTAATACGAAAAGAGAGAGAGAGAGAGAGCAGTCATCATGCTCACTCTCTACACGGCCAAAGGAGCAGCAGCAGAGAAGCTTGGAATAATGTGAAACGGAAGCCGGAAGCGGATGTTGCAAATATTATGGAGGCCAGGCAACAAAAAATGAGCAATAGAAACATAACAGTGAAAATTTAATCAAGGCAAGTCGAAGACGACGACGACGACAGGGCGTCAGGACCAGGACTCGACTGCATTTTATAAGCAGCTTAGCGGGAAAGATGATGGTATGATGGCATGGCATTGGGCCACCAACAGGTGGATGGGACATGGCCCCGAAGCGGCTTGGCCTCAGCTTCAGCTCCAGCTCCAGCTCGAGCTCGAGCTCTGGCTCCTTTTCCCCTAATAAAATTATGTTGGCTCTGGCCCTAATATGCTTCTAATTGGACTTTCCTCCAAGGAGAGTGCTTTCACACAGACACGGAGAGAGGGAGAGGGTGGCAGAGAGGCTGACTAAGCCTTGGGCCGTTTGTGTAAAGGATACACCAAAGCTGATCGTTGGCCCTGCACTGGCCATGGCCTCAAAGTCCACAAGTCCACAGTCAGGTGCTGTTACAAAGCAGACTCTGGACTCCTCCTGTGCCTGCTTTGTGGACATAATTGAAGGCAGGCAAGGCAGGCAGCTTCCACCAGCCACCAGTTCACCTGTCGGGGCGCAGGAAGCGCATCAAATCTATATATGAGGTGCAGTCTACTTACATGCCACACGTATGATACGCTTATCCTCGATGGCGCCACCGGAGAACCAAGGATTCGTGGCGCGACACGTCAGCTCGGCGTTGTCATTCTCCGACGTTACCTTCAGTGTCAGAATGCTAGTCGTGATGTTGCCATCCTGCAAAAAATGTAATGGGGAAATGCAAATATTATTGACTGAAAATAACTCCAAATTAAAGATAAAAATTGTCCCAAAAAATGGGTCCTTTAAATGTTTGTGTGTCCTAGGAGGTGCTTCGTTTCGTTCTCTTTGGATTCTGTGGATTCTCCACTTGCATTCCAGTGCTCGGTTTTCAAAAATAATGAGTCCAGTTTGGAGCTAAGCCGAAAGAGAGAGAGTCGCTCCTTGTGCATCAGCAGCAGGGCAGAGTCAGTGGCAGTGGCAGCCCATGAACCCCAACGAGGTATTAAGTTACGACAGCAGAGAGGCAGAGGCAGAGCCAGAGCAGAGTCAGGCATCGTTTTGGCAACAATCGAAGCTGGAGCCAGAGATAGGACAGGAAAGGACAGGGCAGGGCAGGACAGTGCAGGACAGTGCAGTACATGGACATATAGATGGAGCTCGGCTCGACTTCTCCATGTGTCTGTGTGTGGCACCACCAAGAATCGGTTATGCACGAGTTGACTAATGTTTGGGGACGTTTGGCAGCCCCAACCCAAAACCCCCAGCTTCGATGTGTCTCTATCCATTTACATGGCATAATTAGAAGCCCGAAAAAGGCACTTGCAGTGGCGCACTAATGGCTGCCACAAGCTGAGACTCGTGTTGCGTGCAAAACTGATAAATGCGTACCAGAACTGCTAAAAATTGGGCCCATCCTCGAAAACAAATAGTTTGGGTATTTGCACATAAATTTCAAGTAAAAATTCGCACATTAGTACGAGTCAATGTCCCTTCGTGGAGTGCAAATTTGTGCAGCTTGGAGCCAACTTTCTGTGTAGTGCAGTTCATCAAAGAAGCCAGCCAACTTCTCCCTCTCTTTGTGTGTCTCTCTGCGGCTGCTGCAAAAGTTTGCCCTTGCTTTTAGGGTCACCCAGTGGTCGCCTGTGTGGCTCTTGTGGTTGCTGCCGCCGCCGCTGCCTCTGATGCTATTAAGCGTACTTGCCCCACCAGTTACTCGAGATTCTCTCTGCTGTGTGTCTGGAAGTGTAAGTGTTTGCAGCACTGCGGCCAACTATCAAATGTCAAACGCTGCAAAGTTGCAAACTTTCTTTTACCCTACTCCCAATATTGCCAGATCATTTGGGCCAATTTAGCAAGCACTAAGACTGGGACACTGGCATGTGACATGTGGCCTACACACCATGCGGCTGTACTTACCTCCTTGTCGCTGTGCACCGTAACCTCGGCATTTCGTATGGGCTCGCCGTCCAGCAGCCAGGCAATCTTGGCCGCCGGATACGAGCCCCAGGATTCGCAGCGAATGGGCATAGGATGGCCGGCAGTGAGCAGATCATTGGGTGTGACAATCTTCACGCGAACGGGTTTTACTTTAAGAGAAAGAAATATAAGACTTATGTCTTTTCCGTAGTTCCTTTTACCGAAACTCACAGTGAACCTGCGCGGTGACATCCTTGCGGACGGGATCCACCAGTCGTGTGCCTTGGGCACGACACTCGATGCGTGCGCCGTAAAAGTCGCGGGTGGTGGTGCCAATCAGCAGCTGATTAACCATCACGGTGGCACCCTCCTCCACGGAGGTGTGGCTGGTGCCGATTAGCTCGGTGTCGTCGCGCCACCAGGTAACCTTGGGCGGAGGACGACCTGCAAAGAGGGGGGAATAGAGAAAAGACACATGAGTACATTGCATTATGAGTGACACTCGCGAATGCGGGCTGCTGGCAATCAGCTGCCGTTGGGCCTCTCTTTGGTGGAGAGAGCAAATAATGCACACTTCAGAGCTGGTTAAGTGGGTCAAACCACACACACACAAAGAGCGGTGCAGCCTGTAGGCGCGTACTTACCTCCCCTCACTTGGCAGCAAAGAAAGAGCTCGTAGCCCTCGCGGAAAGGCCCCGCCAGCTGTGTTATCTCCTTGCCCTGAGCATCGAAGATGCGCGGCTCCTCGGGCGGCACTGCAAATGATGGGAAAGGGTTGAGGGTTGAGTTGGGGAAAATCAATTTGGCACAGGAAGAGTGCCATGAATTGATTGGCGGTACTCACCCACTAGGGTCAGGTTGTGCCTGAAGTTGCGCGTTGGCGAGTTGAAGAAATCAATGCGGCAGCGGTAGACGCCACCATCCTCGGGCTTAACGTCGTTTATCTGCAGGCGGGAATCCTTGGGATTATCGCCGATGCTGAAGAAGAGACGCTGCCCCAGATCGCTAGCTATGGCCGCATGCGGAGCCAATTTCACATTTCCGCCACGCGAGTCCAGGCTGTGTGCGAAAACAAAAAGGAAAGCAAAATCATATGTTTGTAGTCGTGTGTTTAAGTGGAAGGGCGGGGCATGTAGCGATTATTAGATGTCATAAATAAACATATGCAGGGGTAGCATAAGTTGCGGCACCTTTCTCCCAACCATCATTTGCTGCTTCTCTCTCTGCTCTCTCTGCTCTCTCTCTCTCTCTGGCATAATTTACGTTCATAAAAAATGACGCTCAATTTGCACACCATGAGCCATGGGCCAGGAGCCATCATCCTGGCAGTAGTCGACTCCCAACTCGAGTGTTTGTTCGTTTGTCTGTGTGCAGTTTAGGGCGCTACTGGGAGTACCTCGGGCGCTGGTGCCCCTCTGGCACTGCTGCTTCGTGCCACGTTGCGACTTTGGCAGCTTTGCGTAAATTGCAGTAATTGGTGCTGTTTTAGCAAATTACTCTGTTTATTTCAGAGGCCACTGATGTTGGCCCTGCCGTTGCTGCTGCACTGCACTCTGTTTATGATTATCGAGTGCCGGTCACTTCACTTTACTTCACGTGCACGGCTCTGACATAGATCCTGTGCAGTGCACCCTGTGCCAAACACTGCTAATGAGTGTTCCCGGGGCTGTGGCACGCAAAGTCGAAGGCATTCGCTAGCACTTGCTACTTGGCATGCAGGACACACCGTCCGTACTCGCCACAATTTATATTGAAAATTTATCAGCGCAAATTTATAAAAATCCGTATGCCACTCCACCCATGAGCCCCTGAGTGGGGAGTGGTGTGTGGGGGGCGTGGCCGATGCGTGTATGCGTGAAAATTTGCTACACTTTAGCAACGACAGCTGTAATCGGATGTGCTTTACATTTATTATAACAAAGTGGATTATGACGGGGCGCATCCTTTGCCCCGAAAACATTCGCACGCACACAGAAGAGGTACAAGCACACACTCACACACACACACATGTGGTGCTGGCAGCTGCCGGAAATAAGCCAAAAACGCGCAGGAGCGCAACAGAGAGAGCGAGAGAGAGAGAGAGAGCCAGAAAAAAACTCACACGTAAAGTGTAAGAAAAGGGATGTTGACGATTATTTTACGCTTTTTGATGGATGGCTGTCTGGCAGGCTCAGGCAGAGGATGATAGCGAACCACTCTGACCCCTTTTTTCCCCTGCAGCTAAACACAACTAGTTCTCCAACTCACCTGTACAATGGTATGCCGGTGGTGTCCTTGAACCAAAGCAGCAGCTTCACCGAGTCCTGGGGCGTGGGTGGTGTCAGGTCGCAGGGCAGCTCCACAGTCTTGCCCAGAGCGGCCCAGACCAATCGGGCGGGTACTGCAAAAGATGGCAAAAGATGAAAGTTTAGTGTTATTTATATATATATATATATATTGGCAGATCAAGAGAAGAAGGGAACGCTGATTGGGTGGCTTGAGTTGGTTTGCTTGAATGTAAAAAAGCAATCGAAGCTGCCAGCCAGGTTGATATTGAGGCAGAAATATCTCTCTGCGCGATATATTTATTTATTATTTGCACTTCCTGCATGATTCGGCTGATTGTTTGTTATTTTAACACAAAGCTTCCGCCCGCGATTCATGGCATGGAGAATGGCATCCCAGTAAAGCCCACCCACAGGCAACCCAAACTCCACCGCCCACACTCCAACAAAAATGGTTCTTGTCGTTGTGGCCTGCTTCCGGTTGCCGGTTGGTTGTCGTCACCAGCGTCGTTTGCCGTTGTTGAATTTGATGTTTCTTTTTTGGTTCCTCCTCCTTCAGTTATTTCTGTGTATTTTGTTCTGCCTTTTTTTTGTGTGAAAAATGATTTCTGGTGAATTTTGTTGTGTACCGTGGAGACGTGCGCCATGCGCCGTGTTTTGTGTTATTTTATTTGACAGAGCAACCTGTAAAATTTCCACATTGTTTCCGCCTGAACGGCTTCTTTTATTTCTGCCTTCTGTGCACGGCCACGGCCTTGCCGAGCGGCAAGTCCCATGGCAAACAATAATGTGCTGTCTTCTGGGGGCTGCCCATTTAGTTATCATCTCTGTTGGGTGCTGTGGCCCTCAGCCTTAAAGTCCTCTTAAATATATTCCATGCAATATTTTGCCGCTCTGTATAATGCAATTTAAGTTTCGACGAACGCGCCACTCAATCCACTCAGCTTTGAATTTTAAGCGGGTTACCACCAAACTTCTATCCCATTCCATTCAGCAGTGTTCCGGCAATGCTTTCATTTCGCAAACAATTTTAAAAGGCATTTTTTGCTTTTTGTTGTGCTGCCGTCGTTGTCGTGGCACTTTGATGTTCAAATGTTTTCGACACACAACAAAAAAACACAACAGTGGTGTGGAGTGGAGTGGAGTGGAGTGTCCGCTCCGATGAGAGTTCTGGGCAGGATTATGGACAAAACTCGAATGTGTGCAGCCGCATAAGCTGCAAAAAGTATTAGCAAATTATTGAAATTTTGCTAAAAACTTTCGCTCTTTGGACTCTCTGGCACTGCCTTTGCTTCTGCCTCTAAGCTGTGTTCGTTTCCCCACAAAGCCGCAAGCCATTTGTTATATTGCGTTGCATACTTTCCGGCGTGCACTCGCGTTGACAACTTGAGCAAAATGGCAAACATTGCGATGCTTCCGGCGCTGCTGCTGCTGCTGCTGCTGCTGGTGGTGCTGCTGCAATTTGTCAACGCTTTGGCTTACGGCAAGCAGAGCAAATATGTGGCCGTGCGAGAAGACGACACCTAGCCGTAAATCCTTATGAATGGAACAGGATATGCTAGGCAAATGGCAGTGTGCCACACAATTCCAACATAGAGAGAGAGTTAGAACGGAGGAAAGCCTTGTGCTGCAGTGCCCGGTCCATGGATGCCTCTCTCCTGACCAATTAGGTAACTCATAAAGATCTGTTAGGGCCACGTTTGATGTGCCACACTCCAAAGACTCTCCCCAGAGCGTCAATCTATTTATAATTGTCGCTGGCATTTGCCCAGTTGTTAGCGGCAATCGTGTGCTCGTTTTTAATGATTTACGCATACATTTAATTCTTTTATTGGCAGCCCAGCGACAACGTCTTTGATGTATGACGCACAACCAACTGGGCCCCAACAAATATTAAGGTTTTCCCGAGAGAGAGAGAGAGAGGGAGAGCGTTGAGCCACTACTAGCAGCTTCTCTTGGCTCGTTTTTGATGTTTTGTTTTGACACATCGCATTATTTGTGGATATTTTTAGCCACCCCTTGAAATTTACTTAACCCAGAGATGGCTCGGGGGAAGACAAACGTTGGGGCAAGACAAGCGCATCCAAATCCAAATCCGAATCGGAATCGGAATCGGAATTTTTACTGCCTGAGGGAGTTTCCACGTAACATGCATCGGGGCATCGGGGCATCGTGCATCGATGCATCTGACAGGCCCTCAGCATGGATCAATTAATTTTCATCGCAAGCGTTGAGAGCGCTGAGTGTTTATGGCTGTTTTCTAATTCTAATTAAGACAATGCCGACGAGCAGGAAATGTTGTGTGAGACTTTTCCAATGAATTTTTAAATAGAGTGCAAATGGGAAGTGCATTTCAAGATAATTAAGTGGTATTTGAATCCCCCTACGGGCGCATATCTACTGCATACTGCATGTGGGCTTTCTCATATTCGACTCAGGCCTCTTAAAGCCTCAAGTTTACTGCGAATATTGCGCATACGCAGCGTGTTACTTTGCATGCATAAACCAGGAGCCCTGATGAGCGCCCCACCAGCAGTGTTTTGTGCCCCATTTGGCTAAGGCCATGAACACGGCGAAACAACAGCGACAGCAACAGCTACAGAGCTACCACACAGAGCCCCAGTTCTGTGTACCATCCACCCAGCGAGGCCACAGCCTGAAGACAACGATGCATTAATTATGCAGTGGGCCCTGCACGCGGTTTGTGGCTGTTGTGGCTACGGCTGCTACTGTCGCTTAAAGCTGCGCAGCCTTAAAGGTTTCCCTGCTGGTGGCAGAAGAATCGAAATGCTTTGGCTATCATCCAAGAGTTCAATGTACTCTAGGGAAAATACAACCCACTGCCAGAGAGTGGGAAAAACACTAATAGAATAAGTCAACAAAGCAGCTCGCTAAATAAACGAAAAATTCAAAGGCTGTCCTGTCCGTACACTAAGTGTGCCGTGCCGTGTCACTGCAAGCATCAGCAGCACCAACGACAATAAATAGATGATAGAACTAACACGAAAAACATGCAGAAATGTTGGCAATCTTTCAATAAACGAGAATCTACATGCGTATCTACGCATTTTCTGGCTTAAATATGTTGGCCCAATTGCGCTCTATTCAATTGATATTTAAAGCGAAAGTTTCGCGGCAAACGCATCGACTGTGGGCTGTATATGTGGGACATTGAGGTTGACACATTACACACACACACACACACCCACACACACACATACTCGTACGCTCCTTTGCGCGTTGTGGTTTTTGATGTTTCTGTGGTTGTGGTTTTTGTTTTCTTTGTTGTTTTGCTGGCTGCAACATGAGAATGAAGCAGCGAACACAATTGCTCGCTCGCTGCCTCCTTCCCTCTGTCCTTTGTCCTCTGTTTTTTTCTGTGGCCAAAGCGGCTTTTATTTGGTTAGAGTTTGATTGAAACATTAGCCAAACGCATGTGCACATGGAAGTCAATTACGCAAAATATAAGTTGGTTAATTAAACGAAATTAGTGCTGGCTCTGCAGACAAGTGGAACCAAGAACCCATTCCCAGCCCCACAAAACACTCCCAGGTGCTCCGGCTAATGAAAAGTTTATTTAGAACGGTGGCAAGTCGGAACTAAACCAAATTACAGGCAATTGCCAAGATAAATATTTGAGTTTCACCATTCACAGCGGCAGCTGAAGAGGCAGCAGCAGCAGCAGCAGCAACAGCAGATGCTACGGCTTCGACTCCACCTCTGACTTGATGCTGCTCGATGGGTCTGGCTGGCACTGCTGGCTTTTAAATATTTTATTCGGCCCGAGTTCAGGCTGTGCCTGTGTCCGGACTCTACTCTTTCCCTGACTTTTCTTTCGCTTTTTTCTGCTGCTGATGCTGGTACTACTACTGATGCCGCGTTGGGGCAAATTGTTTACATTTAAATTGTACATTATGGCAAACACAAACACACAGAGAGAGACACACACACACTCGACCCTGCATGGCCACAAAATGTTGCAAGTTGAGAGCGAAAGTGGTTGCCATTGCGGACAGAACGGAACCGAACAGGCATCGTTCCTCTGCCTCTGCCGGGTCACGCCCCTTTGCCACGCCTCTTTGTAGTGTAGTCAAAGTCGTCAGTGACCCTAATGTACTTTCTCACACTTTTTAGCATGCATTACGGGCTGCCTAACATGGCTGGCAAAGCCTCAGCCTCCGTCTCTGCCGCCTCTCTCACAGACACTCCTGTGTGCGTGTAAATAACTTTCAAAGTGCTTTCCTCATACACACACACACACACACTTGCACACTCACGTATGTATAGTACGGTACATGGTGGTAATGTGAGTATGAATATTTACTTATAATTAGAAATGCCAGAATGTTTTGTTTTCCTTAGTTCAGCCTTTGACTTTTGTTTTTTTTGGCTGTCCTGCCCGCTCGCTCTTTCTTACTTTCCCCCATCCAACTTTCATCTACTCTCTGGCTTTCTGTTTACTGTTGATGTGTGTGTGTGTGTGTGTGTGTGTTGTATTTCCTGTTGCCACCATCTTTGGGGGGCAAATAAACCTAACAACTTCCCGACTGCCAAAACATGACTCTTGTGCGCTCTTTGTTTGCATTACTCCATGTTAGGGCCAAAGGAGCAGCGCAGAAAGCACAATGCCAAAGAGGCCAACAAAGTATGTACAAAAAAATATAATTTAAAGTGTCACAGAGCGGCGAGGCGCCACCAACTAGCAGGCAGCCAGTCGCAGCAAGCAAATGTGCGCGACTCAATTAGGCGAAATATTATTTGGCCCGCCAATAAAGGAGGGGGACGAATGAGAGCGCATGAAATGTTCCCCAACATTCTTTCACAGCCTTATTAATAACAAGTGAGTGTGTGGCGCCACACAGGCATCGGCAACGGCATCGACCGGGCCCAGGCACAGTGCGACAAAGTGTCCGAGCACTTTCCACTCTCTGAGAGAGAAAAGTGAATTTTTCACAAATCTGGCAGCGAGTCGTTGTCGCTGTCGTTGTGGGTCAGCCCGGCAAGTGAAAGTTTTCAAATTAAATTTTGCGACGCCATTTTCAATTAGAAAACTTCTTGGCCAAAGTCTTTTGCAGAAACCCCACCCACTCCCGCTCTGCATCACTGGCCTGGGACT